AATAAACAGTCTAACTAACAATCAGTGATGTAACTAATAATAAACAGTCTAACTAACAATCAGTGATGTAGCTAATAACAAACGGTGAAACTAACAATAATGTAACCAATAACGAATGTTGTAATTAACAATGTATATCAGTGTATATACTATATAAAAACTGTGCATCAGCCTATATTGTATACAATAACCATACAATCATATATCAGCCTACATCACATACAGTAACGCTGTATTAGCCTATATCACATAAAAATAGGTAACTAAGAGCCATTCTGTAACCAATGCTGTAACTGATAGCTCAATAGTGTAACTAATAACCAATGGTATAACCAATACTGTGACTAATAATCAATAGTGCAACAACCAGTGATAACCAATGGGGTAACAAAACAACTAATAGTGTAACAAAATAACCAGTGGTGTGATAAATAACCAGTGGTGTGGTTAATAACCAGTGGTGTGGTTATAGCATAACAAACAACAAATCATGAAATCAGTGCTGTCTGATAGCGTAACTATCAACCAATGGTATAACCAACAATAAACGGTGTAACACTGAGTGCGTTTACATGCATTTAATAATCTGATAACTGCAGAAAATCAGATTTTTGTCAGTAATCTGGTCAGTGCATTTATATGCACTTGAGTAATCAGATGATGGGGAAACACCGGGTTTACGTGAGTCGGATTTCTGCTTTCCAGAAAATCCAGCCTCTTTATCGGATTTCTGAATCGGATTTATACATGGCCATTTGAATAATCAGATAACTGCAGAAATCCGATTATGATTGAATTAGTGAATGCATGTAAACACACTCAGCGTAACTAATATCCAACAGTATAACTACTAAGGAATATGGAGGCATTCGTGGGCTGGAAGTTAGGAAACCAGCCTTGTAACCGGAAGGTCGCTGGTTCGATACCCTGAGCCGACAGTACGTGACTGAAGTGCCCTTGAGCAAGACACCTAACCCCTAACTGCTCTCCAGGACCAGGGTGCGGAACCACTGGTGTAACCAATACCGTCTCTAACAACTAACAACCAGCAGTGTAACTAATAACCAATAACGTAACCACAAACAATGACTGCCAACAAATTTTGTGATTTGTGGGTGTGCCTGAGGCAGATCTATTGGAGAACGTTTCAGTGCGCTTAATAAGGTTCTATGCTTTATAAGAAAGCTCAGATCAGCCTCTCTCATATCTGCAATGCAGCACACAGCGACAACACAGCCTCAGCAGCGTTCTCTCAGGGGTCTCTGAGTAGCGCTGCTCACAGTGTGTACGCATATCGCGTCAGTGAGCTTGTGTGTGTCATTAGAACTCTACGGAAGAACTCTACAGTCAGAACATACACAGTGTGACCTTCCACGGTCTTTCAGCCACGACAGAACCTCAGCTCACCTCACTTTTCTGACATAAACAGCAGGAAGGCTTTGTATCCTGTGATAGTGAAAACAGACACAACAAACTTTAAAATAAATCTGCAAAGCTGGTTCTGTGCCGGTGCGTGGGACGCTGGTGGAACGGCGCGACAGGTACACGTTCCTCTAAAGTCAGACTGGGAGGGCTTGTGCGTTCTTGTGCGTCTGCAGAAAACGGTGTGTATTATAAAGTCACTTAAATGAAACACTGTGAGCTGTCCTGACCTTAATATTCAATATTAAATAAAAGCACAAAGACTTATCTTCTTCTAAAAGTACCCAGGCTTACAGACCTCATCAGCGCAATTGCTGCTTTAATACTTAGACTAATTGAATTATTTCGCTTTATCCATCGGCACTTAAAGCAATAATTTGGCACAAAATCGTTCTGTTTTTTATAGATAACCACGTTGCAAATCTATTTAAAATTTGAAAGGTATGCCATTTTCACCATGCTAACTGGTTTAAGTATAATTGCATGCAAAAACCTACATTACATATTTTGTTGATTTTTGCAGCAATTTAAAACACATTTGTTTTACATGTGATTAATTTAAAAAACAGAAAAAACAGTAGTTGTAGTGTAACGCTGGGTTGACTAACCAGACACTCGCGGATATAAAATAAACCACAGGGTTTAATAAAAGGAGGATTAACCAGGGTTTAGACCAGACCAGGTCAAAAACAAGAGCAGCAACACACGAGACTTGGGATAAGGCAAAAATCAAAGCAGATACACAAGCGAGGGTCAAAACCAGAACAACAACAAATAAACAGGTAAACAGATCCAAAGGGGTAAATCTGAAAAACGACAACGAGAAACGAAACAAGGTCATAACAGTATAACGGAGAAAGGCTTGGTACGCACTGACGAGACAGAGGCAAAACTTCGCAAAGAGGCAATGAAACAGACAGGCATATATACACAGGTAAACAGGTGAAAGCTATCAGTATTCAGGTGACTTGGATGTGCTGATTGGTTGGCGGAGTCACATAACAAACTGGGGAATCTTGGGAATTGAAGTTCATAATGTGGTGAAATGTAGCATGTGCTACAGAACTTAATTTACTCGTTAGGCCTTAATTGACTCGTTAGGACTGGCTAGGCAGGTCGAGAA